AATGGAGTCAACCGGAGTCTGGATCATCGAGTCATTATTAACGATCCTTTCCTTAGATGTATTGTATGCGTTTTGCCAGGGCTCCAGTCAGTTTTGAATTCAGAATTTTCATTCTCCTATACCGGTTGCTACACAGTCTGCCCTACTATTTCCGTCACGTGACGTAATTTTTAACCCTTGACCTACGTACAAATGACAGCTGAGTCAAGGGCAAACAACCAAGTGTTGTAACAATTCCTTTATGTGTCGCGTCCCTTAAGGAAATTGGCGATCACGGATTTCCAGAACTTCCTATCAAAATCGAGGCATCAAAGTGGAAAGCTAATCAGAAAAATTACCATAAAAATATTAATGAACAACGCACAGAGAAGCGACGCTAAGCCATGGGAAAGTGATTGAATCTGAGATGCCAAGTCAGGAACAATAATATTGCAGATATTTTTTTTGTGTGTCAGAAATCTCTAGATAGATAGTAAAAGCATCAGATTAGAGCTGGTAACAATATTCAATGTGGCACTGAAGTTATAAAACAGATTCTGGAGCGAAAAATCGTCTAGCAGGACACACTGAAGCAACTTTCACTTAAGTTGTTGACAATTAAATAAATGTTTCTAGAACTATTTAAAATACATCGTACCTCTGTCATTGCTATTAATAAACTCACAAACCTCTCTACTAGTATCATGAATTCGATCCTTACCGGGTGCCTCGCTTTTGGGGTTATATTTCATTGATTGATTGATTCGATTTTTACGGCTTATCAACCCTTTGCAGGTTATTTAAAGCCAGAAAATATTTTTAGGTTGTAAGAATTTGAGGGTGGGATCGATAATAATAATAATTCAGAGATAGAAGTCTTTCTAATAAATCCATATCTGATGAAAGAAGAAGTGGACACTTATCTTTCCCAAGGAAAGGAAATATAACGAACCCAACTGAAATAGGTCGGTGGATTTTGTTTAGCGGCATATCAACACCTCTATGGGTTATTTAAAACCGAAACCTAAATATTTTAGTACAATTTTATAGACATTATTTACATTATTCGGACTATTGTCCTCATCTTTATCGCCATATTTATTACAACGCTTGAGGACACATGGCAAAATGGATAAAGGCGTTAGTTAGATCCAGTGACAGGACCCAAAGAGTGTGAGTTCAATACCCGGTTAAGGCAGTGGAGAACATTCAAAGGGAAATTAACAGGAGATAACTGATAACTGACATCCATTAAGCATGGCACGTGGAACTAGAACAATCTACCCCAGTGAGCGAAATAATAAATTCAGTTCGACATTCCAACCACCTGAAGAAAGCCGGAGCGTACAACAGCCGAAACGTTGTTATAAATATGGCGACAAAGATGAGGACAATAGTCTGAATAATGTAAATAGTGTACATAATACCTCATCTCAGAAGTATAGACAGACAATTTTATAGCTTCAACTAAATATATTTTGAACGCAATTACATGCCTTCAACTAAAGATAAAACGTATTTGTCACTTTGTTATGAAAATGTATTTTTGGTAATTTTACTGTAAAATTGTATTCTTGGTTATTATACTATAAATAGGTATTGTTGGTGAATTTTTAATATAAAAATGTATTGTCAGTAATTTTCCTGTAAAAATGTATTTTTGTACTTTCATAATCTTTTGTTTTGTTAGGGGGTTCATTATTCCCTCAGAGGTGGGCCCCTAAAAGGTGCTACCACCCCGAGCAGTTAAGAGGTGGCTCGACACTCCTCAAAACTTTCAATCTCCCGAGCAGAGGCCTTGCTGCCGGACGTAGTTCATCGTCACGGAACTAGATCTCTCCCATTAAAAAATTCGAGACATTATCGATAACACCAACTGCGCATCCAAGTTCAGATCATTTGGTGTTCCCAAGTAGTCATCCATCAAGAAAATGACCAGGCTCGACGTTGCTTAACTTCGGTGAACGTACGGGAACTAGTGTTCTAACGTGATATGGCCGTAAGCCTTTATGTTTCAGACAAATCTAAATTTAGTCAGTCACGGCCAATCCGTAAAGCTTTGCATTACAAACTATGTTTCTTTATTATTTAAAATGGCTTACTGGTGAGGTTAAAGGGTGGTGTGGGTACTGCAAGGGCTATTGGTAAGGAATATGGAATCGGAGAACTGTGTTCAACTTCCGCTGTTGTCTGTCACGTTCACATTTACAAAAATTCCCTAGGGGAAGCTATAAATCTGTTTCCTCTCCACCCGCAAACAACTTTTTTAAATAACGGGAAGATTGTCATCTCTCTCCTTGGGTGGGGCAACTAGTCTCAAAGAAAGAAAGCTCTGAAATCCACGCTTCACTCTCTTTACTGAGAAGTCATAGCATTTTATATACAGGGTGACCCAAAAAAACGGGAATTTTTGAAGTGCGTATTGCTAGACATGAGCAAGTGGCAACACTGCGAGACAATGGCCTTGAGCAAGTAAACATTTCGCCATTCAGAATTCAAGATGAAATTCACAGTATCCCAGCTGAGATGCTGCATCAGTCAATGAGGAATTTCAACAGCAGATTTCAAGAATGCATTCGTAAAGGAGGACACCATCTACAGGACGTAATTTAAAAAAAATGAAATTTCCATCATTGTTTCTTAAATGGCATGTTTTAAGGTTTCAATTACTAATAATAAAATATTTTTCTTCCATCACTCTTGGTTTTATTGGATTGTTAAAAGATTCCCGTTTTTTTGGGGTCACCCTGTATAATAAAGTGTGCGAACCAATTACAGACGAACATACATACATACATACATGCATACATACAAATCACATTTACAATGCCAAGCATTCATTGGTTAATAAATCGCCACTACATTTTCTACAGGCAATTTACAAATCGCAGTAATGCTACAATTTTGTAATCGCTCTATTTTTAAGTACGCCAACCTTCTCGCTCACACACACCACTCACATGCTGAACACAAAAAAACTCTTCTTGCTCAACAATATCTGTCAAGAACAATCATTACAAGAAAACCTCATGAACATTTTTCCAGTGAACTTTAAACCAAATAACTATCTGAACTCTAAAATAACATTTTAAAGAGAGGCAATTCTTGGTAAGTTCAACCGTTTCTTACTTAAATGCATGTTTTCTTTCACATCGTTGTTTGATATTGTACATCTTGTTAAAATACATATTTTATGTGTAACAATGTCTTTTGGTTATCCTTCTTGTGTGAGACTGATATTTATTCGTACAAAAAGTACAAATTGTGGCACGAGGCCAATAAAGGTGAGGGGTAGAGGCTGGTCAACACTAACTATCTTATACCTAGCTAATCAGATTCGCGACCCATTCGTACATTACATTTTACCCATTCACCAAAAGAACTCGTCCATCACCAAACAATCCTTCAACCACCATAATACCACGTGCTCTCAAGGGAGACCTACCAAAATCGCGCCCCATTCCATAAAAATTTTAATGATGATATATATATATACAATTCTAATAATGATAAAATTGTGTGAGACTTGTTTCCTAATCAAAAGTTAAATTAATGTGGTGAAGTCTGCCACAAAAGATAAGAAATCGGCAATGAGTTATAATAGCTACATTTTGAAGGATCATGACATAGAAACTCTCATGACGTCAAAATTGACACAATATTTGTATTTTATAAGCACAATTCAGTTACAAAAAGACAATCTGTTTATCTTTAAATCATTTACTCGCCTCCACTCTGGTTTCCGGGGTTGGATCGGTGTCCAGCTGGAATCTTTTCCAGCTGTGCTGGTCAAACTCTCTACCTTCGAGCAGAGAGGATCCCCAGACGAGGCTATGTAGAAGGGCAGAATCTAATCTCAGGAAACAACTACCCGACCCCGTTTTATACGGGAATTTTTGGCCGAGCCTACGGGCTCGGATTCCTCCACTTTAAAACTCAGCTTTGTGCCACATCTTACCTTGTGGGGAGGTTGATAAATATATTTACTCGCCTCCACACGGTGGTTGGGTGTGACACAAGGTCATTTTTAATGTGAGGTAACCACGGAAGACGGAATTGGGATGGCCAAAATTAGCATAAAACTTACGGTTACATCCAGCTATTCAACTGTAAGATGAATAGACCTTGTGGGCAATAATTAGTACGCTTAAATCCATGAAGTCTAGGTACCAAATAGGAAAGCTCATCAGTTGCTAAATTTATCTGGTTAGAAGCAAAACTCTCGTTAAAATTAGATTTAATTATTTAGAAGCCAAAATAACTTTTCTTCCATATTGAATATTAAAAGGATAATGATTTTGAAAAAAGTTCATATTTTTTAAAGACGTACAAATGATTCGTTTTTATTTAAAATAATTCTTATCTTCTTGAGTTTTGTAATCATCACTGTCCTCCTGAGCTTGTCAACTTAAATGATTAAAATGTAAATCTTAGACATTTTCAAATAATGTCATCGATTGATCGATTGGGCGAACATTCAGTAACATACTTCCATAATGACTCGAGTTTTCCAAAAACTGGAGCAAGACATATTGTCGCTGTGCCAAGGGATAATACCAATCTTGGTTTTATTCTTGGTTTATCTTGAACAATGAAATTTCCATGGGTTAATCCCTCAGTAAAAAAATTATATTGCCTTAAAGATATAAAGGTATTTTAAGAATTAATTATAGATGGATACTAACAGAAGGATACTAACACTGATAAGTCGACATTTGAGCGCCGATAACGTTACACTTCCTACACACACTTTAGCCTGGAAAAAAACTGTTTGAAAATATTTTACAGAAGTCGATTTATTTATTGTCTAGTCGTTATTGTGAGCAGCTTCTAAAATCCACCTTTTATTGGAACCAGTGTGAATCAAGTGTTCCAGGTTCGAATTCTGGTGTACCCCGATCATTTCACTTTCGCCCTAATTCTCTTTAAAAAAAAAAACCTCACGAATCCGTCTCTTCGCTCCCCAGTTATGGGTTAAATAGCAAAGTAGGCTCAGCTCTTTAACCTTGGCTTACAGCTTTATCATGTTGAAACACTGGTTCTCGTACGATCACCGAAGTTAAGCAGCGTCAAACCCGATCAGAATTTAGATGGGTGACCGCTTGGGAATACCAGGTGCTGTAAGTTTGGATGTGCGTGTGGTGTAAAGGATAATCGCTTGGAATTGTTAATCAGAGGGCCGAGTTCCAATTCCAGTTGGGTTCGTTATATTCACTTACGGGCAAATACTCTTGGGAAAGGCATGATTCCACTTATTCACCATTTAGTTATGGGTTAATTAGTAGGAATTGTAGCAGTAAATCATTATTATCACTAAAAAATAAATAAAATCCGCTTTTTTCGGAACGAGAGTGAAGATTGGTATCTTATTGCACTGAATGGTACATACTGAAATGCCATACTTTTCATTATTATATCATGGCAAATTCTCTGACAAGCTTTTTTCCCTGGTGTCCCGGCTCTATGAATTTAAGGGTGTTACTAGATTGGCATTTAGGTCCCACCCTTTTACTGTTGAAATAGCTAAATGCAACCACCACTACTACTCCACTTTTTCCTCGCACTTCTCACCCGTGGAACTCTCTTCCATTTCCTTGCTTCCCTGATAACTAAAATCTTCAAAAATTTAAATGCAACGTCAATCGCCATCTTCTGTCTCCTTGAATCTCGTTCATCTTTTGTCCTTTGCTCTGTCCCTCCTATCCCCAGTCTTCCCTGCAACCCGCTGTGTACTAATTATTTAAAAATGTATAGTTATTCTTTATTATACTGTATATTTATTTCAATATAGATGATAATTCGGGAAGCATCAGTGCTATATAAACATTACATTTAAATTACATCTCGATTGACATATCAACAATTAAAGCAGAGAACCTTTCTGCATCAAAGAACAACAAATGTCGGTGTAAACAACGACACACTTGAGCAATAAGCCTTGAATTTTACGCAGATTAAACGGAGTGGTGGGATTATCAAATATCGAAACATCGGTGGTAGTGCTTTTTTTGATAATTTTCACCCAATTTAAAGCCCTAGAGGCGCTCAAGGTAGACAGTTACTGAATGATGTAAGCGTAAGAGTGAGAAGTAAGAAGTGCAGTTTATGATGTTATGTAAAAGAGCAAATATTCATTTATCATTTATTTTAAGCAGCTTATTTTGCACCGTCGTTATGGACACCACTCCCCTCCAATTCACAATTGTGGTTCATGATATTCAAGGCAGAAATAGTGCAACGGCTTGCTCGTTCCTTTTGCACCTGGGATGCTGAGGTAACCCCGGCCTCCTTTCAGAAGTTAAACATGAGAAGCCTACAAGTCAACAGAGTTTTCTTTCCCCTAATCTAGTTGCCAACCAAGGCTATAGGATCCAGTCTGTTCTGCTATTTACCCATGGCTGGGGGTAAGGGATGGATTCATACCTTTCGTGAGTAAATTCAATAACCTCGACTGGAATTTGAACTTGGCTCTCCGATTCTTCAATCCTAGCCGCTATCCATTACTCCACAGTGCCTCCACAAAAGAACTGACCGTTAATCATAAACTTTAAGCTGTTAAGTTTACAGAGGTTAGGAAAACATCCTATCAGGAGTCTGTACAATAAGTTAGCAGTTCTTGGGGGATGTTTTCTGAGTGGGACTACTTTCTTAGTCTATGCATCCGAAGGGAATGATGATGATTCCTCTCAGGGTATGTGACGTGGCGAGTCGGCTGTGAAAGTTAGGACTGGCAGAATTAGGAACTCGAAATTGCCACTGAAGTGGAGCAACGACGTCTACTGTCCGGAAATTTGCTTCACTGTATCGTGCCGGACAATTCTCCTCACCAGAACCCTCTTGCACATCTGCATATCTAGCATTCGTCCGTGCATTGATTACTGCTGCCGTATCTGGTCTGGTGCTCCTGCTATTCATCTCGAGGTTCTTGACAAAATCCGAAGAATGCTCTGTAACATAATCGATCCTGGCCAGGCATCTCGACTTCAGTGACTTTCTCACCGACCTGATATAGTTTCCTTTTCAACAAATATTTTATGAAAACTGTTCTAATGAGCTTTTTTTCCCCTGCTTCTCCGACCACATTAATTTAAGCTTGCTACTAGATTGGCAACTAGGTCTCACCGTTTTACTGTTGAACTAGCTATAGATGCAATCACCACTTCTATTCTAATAGTTTCTTTTCTTGCACTTCTCACCAATGGAAATCCCTTCTGATTTCTTGCTTCCATGATAACTACAACATCAAAAAATTAAATGCAACGTCAATCTTCAATTTTTTGAACCATGTCCGCTTTGTCCTTTCCTCATTCCTCCCCACTAAAGTCTTCTCATTCTCTTTCACTCGCTGTAACCGTTTACGTCATAGTGGCTTTATCGTCTTGCTTGGTGTGAAATGATTAAATCAATGAATAGCAATAAAGTAGCAAGAGGCGTTAATTCAGCCTCTATGAATGACATACGCCCATTTTTAATAAATAAACTGTAGCCCATTTTATTTTATTCATAATTTTTTTCTCAGCGTTAAAGGAAAATTTAATCTAAAAGACAAGACTAATTTTACCAATAAGTTTGCCAGCAGGCCGCCCAAAGAGCAGAATGGATCTGACTGAAACTTGATTTTTTACTTAATTGGCGAAGTGATGACAATTCGGTCAGTTGCTTCTCTTTCATCTCAAATGGTAATGGGAATGATGATAGTAAACGAGGAGGCACGGTGGAGTAAAGGAAAAGGAGAGCCGAGTTCGAATTCCACTCGAATTCATTACATTTCCTTACGTGCTAAGACCCTTAGGAAAGATATGAATCCTCTTCTTCTTCCCCCAGCTCTGGGTAAATAGTAGGACCGACCGGGTTCTATAACCTTGGATGGCAACTGGTCTACTGCAGAAAAAATGGCAACCTACTGCAGGAAAAAAAATCTACCTCGTCAGTCATGTATCGAAAAATACATCATCGCCTAAGCGTGTATTACGTATGACACATAAGTGACTGATATTCACTTACGTGCTAATACTCTTGGGAAAGGTATGAATCCTGTTCTTCTCCCTCCAGGTATGGGTAAATAGCAGGACAGATCGGGTTCTATAACCTTGGATGGCAACTGGTGTAACGCAGAAAAAAATGGCAACCTACTGCAGGAAAAAATCTGCCTCGTCAGTCATGTATCAAAAGATACATGATCGCCTGTGTATCACGCGTGGCACATAAATGACTGACTAATATTAAATGTTTACTTACAAGGAAACATTCGACATTCATTAAACGACTGGTTAAAGTTACTCAGTAAAATAAGTTTCTTTCTAGATGTGGATTTCCTTCCTAACATTTTGCTTAAGCGTACTCAAATGTCGAAAGGAATAAATGCAAACTTTACTGACAGCAAAGAACTGCCATATAATAAACCCATTTTTATTTTGGAACAATTTTAGTTGCAGGCGAGTAAATTAACATCCTATTAAAAACAGACATATCAAAATTATAACTATTAAAATGCTTTGTAATTATTTCATCAGAACTTGATTAGAATTAATTGTTCAATTGATTTTGTCATTATTTTCTCTTCAAGTTAGTATACCACTCATTTCTCTCTGATTTTCTGGATTTTATGGGGATGGGGTTCTACAGAAGGATGCTAAGGATATCATGGTGGATTATTATCGTCATATTTGTTGTTGTTATCGCACCATTCTAAAATCCAAACACGCGTCTTCATGTTTCAACAATGTCTGATTAACGCGCCTTCTCTTATCATTCTTCAGTTACCCTCCCGCATCAACGGCCTGTGGGGTTTGTTTCATTCACTTACGCGCAAATACCTTTGGAACAAGTATAAATCTATCTCTTACTCCCGCTATGGGTTAAATAATAGGACTTGTATCTGGAAAAATCATTATCTCTAAAAAATTGTTCATTCGCAAAAAAAAAAAAATTATTCTTACAATTCAAATTATCTCGACTTTAAATTTATCCACAAAATGTTCATAAGCCGTAAACAAATCAACTAATCGAATCACGGCAAATTATGGGCGTAGTTTTTTTTTTTTTTTTTTTAACTTAGACCTCATTAAAACTTAGATACGCTCTACAATGTTGCAAAGAAAGATTAATTTATTTATAAACCAATGAACGGACCCGAGCATGAACACTTGATCTGATCGATTTGATGAAAATATTTACAACGGAAAAGGCAAGCTAAGTCATATGTTGATTTATTTAAAATTGAAACTTTTATGAGATTTTTTTTTTACTTTTGTGTCTTTTCGCCGCCATAAATAAATAGGAAACATAGTAGTTTGATTTCGCTCAAGGGTCCGAAATGGCGTTTACATTTATAAGTGAGTAAACAGACACGGAAAAGAAATTACAAAATCTCCCACAGAATGTACCGACGGAGAGTGCGATGTTGGGACTAAGTATAAATTCCAAGAAAACAGTAAAATTAGTAAAAGGATTTGCATGTTGGGAACACTAGAATCAAGCGGACTCGGAAGTTTAAATATTTGGGAAGCATTTTCACAGAGGACGGTAAATGCGACATTGAGATCAGTAGACGTATTGGTATGGCCAAGGACACATTCCAAAAGATGTTCAGAGTACTGCCAGACAGGAGGATTTCTTTGGTAACGAAGAAAAGAATACTAAGCAGTTACGTGACATCTGTTTTTCTTTACGGCAGTGAATGTTGGAGGAGTTCCTAAAAGATAAAGAAGAGACTCGAGACGACGGAGATGTGGTTCTACAGAAGGATGCTAAGGATATCATGGACCGAGCATGTGAGCAACAGTGAGGTTGCAAACAAAGATGAGGCTTATATTTAACATCACAGGTCGAATAGAGAGGAAGAAAGACAAGGGAAAACAACGCATGACATACCTGGCGACTATAAGCAAGTAGATGACAGAACGTGGTCGGGGGGAGGGGGGTGACAGAAGAAACGAACTTTTTGAAAGCTGTAAGGAATAGAGGTAGGTGGAGAGCCATGATCGCTTACATCCTGAAAGGACACAGCACATAGAAAGAAAGAAGTACTATTTTGCCAATAGCGGAGATAATCATTATATCAAAAGCACTTTCACTCCAAAATGATTTGCGCATCAAAATCTTTATTTCTCTTTTTCTTTCGT